GGGAAGCTTTATAATCTGATGGACTCGGTAGCATTTCCCCCTACATAAAAAAAAGGCTATTAGAAAAACTTTTGTATCAGGAGGATACAAAACATTTTGACAAAGTCAGAAGAACCTGAAAGTAAATACACATTTCCTCAAAAACTGAAGGAGGAAAGCTGCCTGCTAATCAGATCAGTATCTCTAAGCTCATGTCTATAACAAATAATTACCTATGACATAAATAATCTGCTGTCACATTTTTTGCAAGACAGTTACATTTTCTAGAAAAGGAACCCTTTAAAAAATTTTTGCCTTGCAAAAATTAACTGCTTATTGATCGAACTGATACCAATCTTGAAGAGAAAATTGTTTAAGTATTTCAAAAGAAGATATTCAGTAGTAACTCAACAGTAACTGCTACAAATGGTATTTACACTGCTTTAGTTTTAGGCACCTCAAGGATAGGGCTAATATTTCTAAGCTCTGTTGACACTGGGTGAAGGAGAGAATTATATAATTATCAAGTAGAAACAGTAGAGGAGTTTTTGGGCAGGGTTGCATCAATGGGCCTCCAGTGTATCTGCTTTTTTTTTTTTTTAATGTCAACAGATCTGAAGAAAACTGAAACTCCCAGCTACTGTCCTTGCTGTTTAAAAAATAAAGAAAAGTATAAGTAGAATTTATTTTAAGGAATTAAGAATTCATTGCATAAGAATAAAAGCATTGGTTTTAAAATCTTCCATGAAAACTTATGAAAGAAACATGTGAATGCACTATTGAGAAATTCAGAGAAATATACCTCTAAATGTTCAGTTAATAGAAATTGGGCACATGTTGCAAACCCTTAATGACCTAACCCATAAAAACATTGAGAAAATAGTGTGGAAAGAAAAAGCACTCCATTCTAAATGTTTCATCAAAATATATTAATTTAGTATTTTGCACAAAAATTTTATAGCAAAAAGTAATCTTACCAGTGGGCATTCCAATAATAAAGCATCTTCTATTTTTTCAGACTTGGCACACTTTGACTTTTGATAAATTAGTCTTGGCTGTTGTGCAATGCTAGAGGAAAATGATTGCTAATCATTAGTCTGTTTTATAGACTACTTTCTATCAACAAGTCATTTCATACAGTTTTATAAATCTTACCTTCTCCTTAGGCAGGTCAGAAATATAAACATCTCATTTTTACTTTGTAAACATACCTGAAATTGCTCTCAAAATAAGGCCTAATAAACAAGTTAATATAGCGCAATATTTAAAAGCTAATATTCTCTAAATCTTTTGGTCTGGTTGCTTTTCTTTTTTTAGTTTCAGGTTTACTTTTAGTTTTGAGTTGGGTTTTTTTAAAGTAACAAACTTAATAGTTACTTTTTTAAGTAGCCAACTTAGTAACATTCTTGCTCTAGTGATATACATTAAGAAGAAAACAAAGTAACTCAAAAACATGGATCATCCTGGAACCTTCCCCTCAAGTTCTTCCAATGCTGCCTTTTATAACAAAGGTGTGGCATCATGTTCAGATATTTAAAAAAACTCTCTGCTAATTAAAATTTATGCCATTTGGGTTTTGCCTTTTTTCCTTTTATATATTCTCTGTATTCTTCATACACATATTTGTAACTCTGTCACCTATTGTATTAGTAGCTAGCTTTACCAGTACTTTTCCATGGCCTTTCCCTAGGCAGAAAGACAAAACAAAATCCAGAACTCCAAGCCCTAGGAGGTACGAGGCCCCAGTGCTATCTTGGTTCTACCTGGGAACCAAGGCTGAGAACAACTCTTGGAGATACATTTTCATGGATAAAGTACAACTTGTACTGAGGGGGCTCCAGAGAAGGGGCTTGGCCTGTGGGGTGGAATTACATCACCACTTGTCCTCCTAACTGGGGCTTTTTATCAATTATGCCAATATCCTAAAACCTATAAATGTGTACTCATCCCTGTAAGGGTGGGCTTTTGTGGACATCTTTCCATAACTGCCTCTGAAGGCCTTCATTGAGGATCCCCTTTTATATTACCTCCTTACTAAAATTATTTTGAGTTTTATTTCCATGTTGGGAACAAGGCAATAAAACAAAAGCTTTGTACTGTGCACAGTTTTGCCCTCTGGGAGAGGATGACACAGAGAAAAACCTGAAAGATGTTAGACAGGTTAAACCAGTACTGAAAACATTCAGACAATGTAGGAATAAAAGCAGATTTAGATCTCAGCTGTGGGTGATAGATTAACTTAATTGACTCTTAGTGTCATATGATACATAAAATATAACTAGTCTGTCAGGATAAACCACTATCTCAAAACTGCTCTGTCCCCAGCTTCCTCAGCAATGCAGCCCTCCCTCACAGTAGGGACAGGCAAGGTCAAGGGCTGGTGCACACAGATTTCCTGTCCTCTATCCCTCCATGTGCTGCCTCCTAACCTGTCTCTCTGCAACTGATCATGGAACAGAACATATTAGATCAGAGAATTTATCTACAAAATACATTTGCAAAAATTAGCACATACTGCAAGCTGTACTTTTACATGAAAAATAATTTACTTATTTTATACAGAATTCACATAGCACCAAGCTGGTTACATAGGCTGATTCTGTAACACACTCTTTAGCACAGTGATGGTTGCCAGATTAAAAAGAACTACTGTTCATTTGGCTTTTTAGTGCAAGACTAGAAAATTGTGTTAATCTTCCATTCCTGCTCTGAAAGATGAGGTTATACTGCACCAGAAAGATCAGGCTTTTTTTAACCAAAGTAGGTGTCACATTAAGATACAACAGCATCTAAATGTAATTCAAAGATTGTAAACCAAAGATTTATCACCCGCTTATTTTTTGTTCCCAGGTAAACTCCATTTAAATCACAGCAGCTATGAGTAAAGTTAGCAATATGAGACAGAATCAGTCTCAAATCTGTAAGTCAGTACCTCATAATTGCAAATGTATTACCTGGTAATACAGCATTGGTAATTGTCCATGTAAATTCTTCCTCTTTCGTATGCAATAGGAGATGCAGAATGAGTTGTCCAAACATTCTTGAATTTAGTACTTTCCTGAAACACAATAGTTTTAACAGTAATGGCCGTTTGCAACAAACTTTGCTTCTGAAAATATTTTATTTGGCTCCTGCAACTTAATACCTTACTTTAATTAAAATTTTACTGCTGAATACACAAGAAAGAATCTTACTTGGTTTTTATAAATAAAATTAACAGACCTTTCATAAGAAAATGTTGTCTTTTTTAAAGATCAAATTAAAATATTTTTAATTAGCTATTATGGACAGCTATTCTTTACAGCAGGGGTAAGGAATATTTTGTCATTAACTTGCCTATATTAAAACTAGCAACTAAACTTCCATAGTGATTTTGAAATCAAGGACTAAACTCCCCAGATTAATTATGCGAAGATTCTTTTATATGTAATTTGATTTATTGAACACTTAATTCCATTCTGCTGGTGGAGTTTGGTGTGAAAGGCAGAAAAATGTATTTACCGTTATTTGCAATAAGTGTCCAAAATGTTAATGAAATAAACTGCTCACATTAAAGCTTCTTGCATGCATTTGAGATATCAGGAGCTCTATGCCATTAACAAAGGTTCCAGTCTTAGAAAACAGAAGTGTGTGTCAGATGTACTTATTTTTATTTCAGTAAACACTGCACACCTATTGATCTAGTTACATAAGTAGACACTTCAGCTGACTTCCAATAAATGTATTTTCAATATAACTGCCAATTCACTTCCATGTTATTTTCCAACGTATTTCTATCAACTACTGTATGGAAGCAGAAATTGTTTTGACTAAAAAAAGAAAAAAAGAGTTCACTTCAGTTTGTAATTGATTTAATTCCAATTTTTTCTGTAACATCAGTTTCACTGAGAACTGGGGTTATGTTTACCTGAAAATCTCTGCCAATTACTCATTATGCGAACTCCTTTCAAATTCAGCATGAAGCACGAAAAATTTAAGATCAGTACGAAATATGAAGCCATCTTAGGGAAATAGGTGATATAAAATCTCATAAAAGCTTAATTCTAACACAATTATTAGATACACGAGTGCGTTTGCAGTTTTTGCACAATCCTCTCTACATTTCTAGGCCTGAGCCTTGTGAAATAATTAGGCACCTTTTTTCTCCCCAAACTTGCTCTCCAACGTGACCGGGACCTCTCGAAGACCCGGGCCGAGGACTGGCACGCAGCCCCCTCGGCTGAAAGGCCGAAGGCGCGGGGCTGCAGCCAGCGCCGGAAGGCGGCAGATTACCTGACACATGATCCTCCTGAGGAGTCCCAGGTTCTTCCTGTGGGCGACACCGGCATCTCTGGCGTAGAAGCCGTGGGCCCTGCGGGTGAGCAGGCGGCACACGTTGTGCACGCCGCACGCCCGGAGGGCGGCCCTGCTCCCGCCGGCGGCCGCCTGCGGGCATGTTCTGGGCCCGCGGGCCGGGATCGCCTTCCTCCCCCGCTCCAGGCTCGCTCTCGGCAGGGCGTGCAGCCTCGCAGGCCCAGGCCCGCGGCGGGTTTCTCTCAAACCCCCCGCCCTTGCCCGGCGAGAGGTGAAGCGAAGCGGGAAAAGACCCGAACGGCGCCTTGCTCCTTGACTCCCGAGCGAGGCGAGCCGAGGCCTTCCGCCGGTGCCGCGCGCTTCCCCGGCCGCCGCAGCTCCGGTTTCCGCAGACGCCGGGCGGGGACAGCCTTGCGCCGCCTCCCGCGCGGCCCGCCGGGTACTGTAGTTTTTCCGAGGGCGGATCGCGCGGCGCTCCCGGACTTCACTTCCCGCCGCGCCCCGCGGATCGCCGCCGCTCCGGAGCGGCGGAGCGGGGTCACCCTACCGTACGGCAGCGCTGCGGCGTGGGCGCTGATAAGGCACCGCTCCGAGGATCGGGCAGGAGCAGGCGCTGCGCCGGGCTCGGTGAGAGTCGCCGGCAGCGGCCGCCGGCCGGTACCGCGCAGCCGCCCGCGCACCGGGAGCTCTGCCCCGGCCGGGCTCCCCGCCCATCCTGCGCTGAAGGATGCGGGCGCTCGGCATGCGGAGCGTGCAAGTGGAAACGCTTTACTCGTTGTTTTCTCAATTAAATCAGAAAAGTTTTGTTAGTGGTAGCTAGTTAAGGAGAAGTGGGAACTGGTATCTTCTTTCTTTTGAAATGTTCCTGCTGTAAACCTCAGCTTTCGGGGTTGGGCGCGGGGCATTCCCGGGGGTGAGCGCCCGGCCTGGCGCCTGCGAGCCTTTGGGCACCGGCCGTGAGCCTCTTTGGGTACGGCAGTGTGGGATTGAGTGCACTCGGACTTGGGGCGAAGGTTAAGGGACTGGTTGAAACCCGTTTAAAACTCCAAAGTCAACAGAAACTTCTTAAGATGTATGACACTTCCTTTTTGTATTTTAGAGCTACATCCCAAATGCTGTCACGGTCATCAATCGCTGCTTGCCAGCAGAGCAACTGAAGTCTGTGGACAGACTCTTTTCTCTTCCTTGCCAGAGGCCAAGCGCCCAAATGCGGTAATCAAAAGTTGCTGATGTTTTTGTGTGCCCATATCTGTCCTTCAGGATCTCAGTAGAACCTTGAATCTTCACTGATCTGAAGGAAAGAGAGAGTCGTTTAAATTTCTGTTGCTTTGCAATTATTGCTTGAAGGGAGCTAAACCCAAACACAGTGGTCGCAGTTGCTCCTTCAAGGAGCTGATTAGGGCAGTAAATGGAGCATATTCTCCGGTGGATTTGCAGCATCACCAGTGACTTCAGAGGTGGCAAGGCAGGTTGTAGCTCATCAAAGTACATATGGACATCCAGAATCCTGCAAGAATGTAAAATGGATGACGTTCTTGAATATACACTATAGACAGTAGTAAAATTCATGGTGCTCTATCCCAGTCCTCATCACCTGTAATAAAAAAAACCCATAGTTTGTGTTGAGACAAATTATCTTTTTTTAGACAATACATTTAAATATTCAGTATTTTGTAGATAATATGTTTAAAATAGTTTAAGTGATTGCATTTGGAGGTTTAGATGTATCTTCACTGCAAGTATGTGTGTACATACATAATGTGTGAAGTCTCAATAGCTCTTTTCCCTTTTTTCTCCTTCCTGTGTAAGTAGCAGCCAGCAGAGGGTGTGCAGGGTAATGAGGCACCCTTCTTTGATTATTCAAGTAAATGTTACCAGTAAATCCGCAGGATTTATCTCCCCTTCTCTCTCATTGCATAAACCGTTTCCTCTTTGCTCAACTATTTTTAACAGTCTGCCTCACTTGTAGAAGCTTGTGGAAGAGCAGGCACTTCTCAACACCTGTATATGTGATTAAAATAATATCTGGTGGGGCAGGTTTGTTTGTTTTTATCTGCTTTGCTTTTAAACTAATTTTAACTTTGTTGTCTCTATAGGAATCAAAATAATTTTTCTTTTGTTTTTCTTTTCCCCCGGGAGGCACTGCTCTGCGGCAGTTTCACTGAAGTTGCTGTATGCTCACAGGGAGGTCTGCATTATTCCTGGTGCATGAGAAAGAAAAACAGTTGAAATTTTTAGATCTGCTGAGTTTGAGAAGTTGTGAAATACCCTGTTGTTTCAAATGTGCATAATTTTTTGGAAATATATAATTGAAAAACTAATTATGAAGTCCCAAGAGGCATGATTAGTCACTTGGTCAAATAGAACTAAGCACTCAGTTAAGGAGTGAGTCTGGTTGATAGTAAAGTCACTCCCAACTCCACCCAGACTGGAAATATTAAGAAATATTAATATGTATTTATTTTAAAAATAACCACTGGTAATTCATAGTTATACCTTTGTGTTACCATTATCTTGAAATTTTTTCTCCTTTCTGTCCCCAGTTGCCACTTGCATCTCTTTTGTGTAAAGTGTTTTGAGTTTTGGTAGTGTTTAGTGGTGATAATATACATTAGTAAGGCTTTACAGAAGAGCATTTGGAATTAATGGTCAAATGCTGTCTAGATAAGCTTCTAGGTACCAAGCAGAAGTAATTGTATGAAGTTAATTGTTTCCAGAATACTTTTCTGCCTAGTAATGTAACAAAAGCTGCACATACTGTTCCTAATATAGGCTATTTTTGTCTTTATAACAGAGACTCTACAAGGAGGCTTAGTGATTGGAGATGGAAGAAGTTAGATTTGTAGCTGTAGATCAGCCAAATGTCAAAATATTTTTTTCCAATGTGTTCATTGAATTAGGTTCTTGGATAAAAGTAACTGGTTGTTTTTGTTCTTTTTGTTGTTTTTCTTCCTCTGACATCTCACTCAGAATTGATACTTTCAAAGAATTTTACTCATCAGTTAAGTGGTTAAAAATGTTTTGGGGTGTAATTCACTATTAAAAATATCTTAGAACAGTTATTTTCTCCTATATCTAATTTTCTTCTATGGCTGTGACTGCTCAGGGTTTTAATGACAACATCAATTAATTTAATTAGCCAACTTCAGGTCTGGCTAGGAGTTGATGTGTGTACATTCTTCTGCATGTTCACCTGCAAAAAGCTGTACTAAAGATGCTGTATTTGCTTGTTTCTTAAAATTTCTCAATTAAACTGAGGATCTGATCTGTACTTGTACCAATGACAAAGCTGTAAAGTCTAAAAGGCAGTGCTCCACAGGGAAACAAAGACTTCCATGTTGCTGTTCAGCATGGTTATTGAATGCATTGTTTCTTTAAGGGTTTTTTTTCTGAAAAACAGTTATGCTGCTACAAAATTTAGTAATTTTTATTGTAATTCAGTTTTATGTTAATTTCCTTAAAGATGAAAGTTGAATTGTTTTGATTAATAATAAAATTTAAAGTATTCCTGATTGTGATTGAACAGGGAAAAACTCCTAATTCTTTCAAGCAACATTTCTTGCTGTCATAACTTCAGGGTATGATCATCTTACCTAATAACAAGAAAGGGTGTTTGCCTGTTTCATTAACAAACTTCAGTTAAACAATCGAGCAATGACTCCCTTCAGAAAATGTGATTTAGGCTTACAAGTGATTTAATGCATTTTGAGCTTTAAGTAGCCATGTTGCCGACTAATCTCGTGATCTGTGCATGACATAACTCTCAGGGATGTACATGCATGTCTCAAGGGAGTTCATTCACATTTAACATAGATTGCAACAGGAAACTTCCTCAACTACCCTGCTTGCCTTACGTTTTTGGAATTTATCTGCTAAAATTGTTCAACTACCACTCAAAGGCTCGCTTTTTCATAGAAAGGCTTGCATATCTGGATTTTACTGATGTAAGATCATCTTAGTCATCTGACTATAGTTCCCATCTGTGCATCTTTTCATGTTTTTATTGAGATATTTAGAAAGCCAAGAAAAATTATGTGATGAGCCTAGCAGCTGAATCATTGTATTTTATGGTGAATATCAATGCTGGCATAGGAAATGCAGGATAATAACTCAGGTTTTTTCAAGTAATTGAGGGAGGAAGGGGATTTGTAAACAGTTTGCAATGTAATAATGGAATCTTTATCCAAGCTTTTCTATAATTTAATAATAATAATTCTGAATTGTGGTTTGGGATTTTGGAGGACTTTCTATTTGTTTTTATTTACAATAATGCCTTTATGTAAATTACACGTTTTTCAGAAATTGTCATGATGTCTTAATTTTCATGTATCATAATTATTATCTCATTATATCCCATATATGTTAATAATTATAGATTATGTTCAAAAAAATGCATACATATTTTCAAATACAAACCAGTAAAAACTTGTAGTAATTGAAATATAACTTGGAATAGTTTTACTTGCTAAGCCACATTAAAAAAAAACTCACAATAGACTCATTAGCATTAGAAGAAGTTTTGATTCTTTTAATAGGCCTAAATGTTAGATTTTCACTGTATGGCAACACTTCCATGTCTTGGTAACATTACAGTTTCAGCAGCCAAAATCAACAGTAATTTTATGAGGCATCATCAACGATAAGGCAAACTCCATTTTATTTAAACTTTGACAAATAAGAAATTTTAATCTTTTTTCCTTTTTTTTCTGTAGGCTTAAAATGAATAAACAATGCCCTTTTTAAAGCATGACTCATTCAAAAGTACATGTTAAATGAGGAATTGTTCATTTAATTGAAGTGATTCCTTTGCCAGTCTTTGTATTGATGTGGACAGATTAATAATTTTCAATTCACAGTACAAGACTGTGATCAAATACTACCATTTTCCTTAAGATAGAAATCTTTGGTTTGCAACCAGTTTGCACAGAATGTTTTCTAGAGTGTCTTATGCCTGTTCTTTTGTAACTATGTTTTGGATCTCCGGTGCATTAAATTTGTATGTGTGGTTTTTATGGAAGCAGCATTGCAAAAAAAGAGAAAAAAGGCAGGAAAAAATAGGACTTAGAATAATTTTAAGGAAAAAAGAACAAAAACCCATCAGGTTAAAAGTAGTAGGGGGAGTGTTTCATTTTACTCATCTCATAGAAAGCTTACATTAACAAGAATATGCAAAACACCCCACCAAAAATGCTAATACTAGCTACACACACTTGTTTTCTTTCTTTATTGATCCTTTATGAAGATATTCTAAGTAAAGTAAAATACAGCAATATATGATAAAATTATACATGTAATAGAAAATTCTGAATCACTTTATCATTTCCATTGATAGAAATTAAACATATATAACAATTACATTTCAAAGACAGCAGTGAACAGGGATCAGGAGAATAAATGGCAGAAATGTTGGAAAGTTTTATGTGAACCATGTTTACACTTAAGAAAAGATATTTAATGTCCTATTTAAAAGCATAACACCATAGTCATAGTTCCAGAGTGAAATCTTTTGAAGAAACTGAGTAGGGTGAAAAATGTCCATTTTACTGAGGGTATATACCCACTAGAAGACGTGGTTTCTTTACTGATCATTTCTTGCTTGCATTTGTAAAGGTACAGTATCAGTCTTAAGTTATTGTTTTACTGTGTATTTCTTTTCTTTCCCCTCCCTGATAGGACTTTGAAATGATACTATGTAATTTATTTTTTGACTGATTTTATTCCAGTAGCCTACTTCGGGATTATTTGGGCTTTCAGCACACTGAAGGGATGTTGCCATTTTCTAAGAAGCATTTGAATTGATATTTTAGTGAATGATTTTTAGTAAATCTGATACCTATTCTTGGTTATTTGACCAGTCTGTCATGTAAGTGACATAAACAGTTGCATTACTGCAAAACTGTAATTTGAGTTAAATGTGTTTTCAGGTCTCTCAACACAACAAACTTCATTACAAGGCTTTCTGCTTTATGTCTGAGGAAAAACAAGATGCAATGCAGGCACCAAAGTAATAGACGACCAACGGTTCCACTTGGATCACGGATTTTAACTGATCCTTCTAAGGTCTTTGAGCATAACATGTGGTGAGATGTTTCTTCAAGGATGATTTTCATATAATTTTGTACACTGTTTGCTCTAATGAGTAATGGTGTGAGTGTATAAAACAAGGTGCTGTCAGAATAGGCATATGAAGGTAGCACTAGAGGAAACATGAGACTGTCACAAGTAATCTGACAGTTATGACCTCTCAGTCACTTGTGTTAAAAGCTGCCAAGCAAATAGTCAAGGAGTGAAAGTCAAAATATTATTATGGATCAGTAATCAATTAGGAGACAGAGGGTGTAACGATAAGATAGTCCCTGTTATTTAAAATGGCAGAAAATTTCTAGGTACAGTAACATTGCATACTGGATTAGTGCCCTAGTCTAAAATTGACATAATTTTAAAAGGAACATCTAAATTACTCCTATTCTTCTAAAGGTATACTGAAGATGTTGCAGATAATTCAGCAGAAATTTTCAGACACTGTGCAATTATCAAAAAAAGTAAACAAAATCTTAACATAAATAAACAATGTAATAGCAGAGAAGACATCAATGTGTAAATGCTGACAAGAATTAGAATTGCCCTGATTTGCAACATCACAAAAGGTACTTTCGTGATTAATGTATGCTCAGAAAAGAGTGAGAATGCTAGTCAACACAGTGGGGAAAATGAGACAGAAAGCCCAAGATTTTTGATTGTGGAATGGAGATGAACACAAAACATTTAAGTGATACAGGAAGTGTTAGAAGGATAGAAGATTATCCAAGTCTATTTAGAAAGTAGAATATCTGGTTTCCCAAATATCTACCTAAGATATTTTGGAAACCAGGAATTTCTGTTCTTAAAATTTATCATTAAACCCAAGGAATATTAGTTGAGAAGTGGGAAATTTAGAAGTTATACAGAATTACTTATTTAAAAAATTTTAATGTATTTTTGAATTCTGTTACCATTTTTGAGAGCAAAGGTTTAGCAAAATTAGGAAAAGGGACTGGATGTGGCTAACAATAACCAATGGGTAATATATCATAGGAGTAATGTGACACATTTCAGGACTTAAGTTGACTTCGTAGAAGTAATCTGAAATTTTTGTACTTTCCTCAGAGGTGTTCTCTGCTGTTAGCTGTCAGAGAGGTTACTGGACTAGCTTTTAACTTGCCAGTTAAAATATTTTTTTAAAACATTTAAAAAAATTTTTGAATATTTTTTATAACCCATTTTATCATTCCACTTTGCTTTTTAATTTAATTTCTTTCAAAAGATTCTCTATATCATCAGCATATCAATATGCTGATGAATAAAAATTTTTAACAATATGATACAGAAGATTTTCATAAACTAGTATCTTCATTAGTCTTTCTAGTGTTTAAATTTGGGCTTAACTCATTAGTTAAGATACACAATTAGATTTTTCACCTGTTAGTTCTAAGCTAGATGTCCCCAAGCTATGGTCCCTAACGCTTACCATTTTCAGGCTAAATTTGGAGTTGGCTATACTTCCTTGGTTGAGGAAGCTGGAAGCTGTCTGATTATTGTGTTAAGTGTGTAAAGTTTGTGTTTCATAAAACTATATGCAATGTAGTTCTTAAGCATGTTCCAGGCTTAGTGCTTCCTGCTAGGTGGACAAATTCTTTACATAAAATATAAAATAAATGTAAATGCTGATTGAAATGTAGGCTATATAATCAAGAGAGGAAAAGATTTTAAGAAAAGGGCCACCCTTTTTCTGTAACATTGGTTTTTGATCAAACTGTTTGCTTATTTTGTAATTTCCTTCCAAAAAATTCATGTGTAGCTTCAGCTTTACCTGCTACACTTTGATGACAGTCTAACATAGTTATCAAACTTTGATGTAGGTGGTTAGGATAGATTATGAAGATGGAGGTAAAGAGATAGGGTTGTTCAGAAGGTGGATCTGCAGATGAATCTATGTAGCTCAGATGGGAAAACAGGTGGAATTGAACTGAAGCAGAGGTGCATAGAAGTTGTGATGGTCTTGATAAACCAAGAACCTGGCTATGTTGGGGGGTAGGTCATTGTTTCTGAAGCTCATTGCATTGGCAGGGTTCCCACTAGGGAGATAAGGAGAATTAGGATGTGGTGGTAGTGCTAAATAGATTACACAGGGTGAGCGTAAGAGATTTGTCTTCTCTAACATTGATGTATGATGTCCTTTTGTTTTCTAATCGTCAACTTTGTTAGTTCATAAAGTGGCATTCTTTTTGTGTGAATTAGCAGGGAGACAAGAGCTGCTACCATTGCTGCTAGAAATACTAAGTAAATTAAATTTGGCGGCTAATGCTTTAGATGTCTATTGTGGTGCTTTTCTGTTATTTTGAGAGAGAAGTAATGAATGATGCTAAACATTGGAGCAAAAAATGCCTGCTTCTGTTCTGACCAGTAATTGAACCAGTTTTCACATTATCAGAGAGATAATTAACCCTAAGTTAGCAAACAAGTTAGCAGAAAAAGACTAAGTTGAATAGGCTGAACTGAAAAGCAGCATTGTTTGATCTTATATCAGGCCTACTCATGTTAACAGTTCCTGGTGTGGTTAAAATGGAAAGCTTGCTTTGCTGCTCTCAGTGTTCAGCTTAAAACACTTCTGCATTTAAACACTTCTGTGTTTAGAATTCTTATGTGTTCTGTGTTTCTACCAGCTTGTATTGCTGAAGGAGCTGCCTCATTTGAAGCATCCATACTATGTATATAATTGCTGATGGAAAAATGCAGTGTCCCCTTTTTTGTAGATTTTGATCAAGAAGTGCTGCCATATAGAAATTTCTACAAAAGCACCAAAACGGACTTTATGAATTTCTAAGGAGGGAAAAAAAAGGGGAAAAAAAAGCTGTTAATGAAGATGGAGGGCTTCAGGCACCTTTAGTATTGTGTGTAGAGCCCCTAAGGGCTTTGACAGACACACAATGATGGATTAAAATTGATCAGCTAAAGATTACAGTGCAGCAAGTAATCTGTCAGAAGGGCTGACTGTGTATTATTGCCATCTGAATAGTCCTTGGTTTCAGCTTGCTGGAATAGGCAAGGTCAAAACCAGTGATAGCAGTGAGGGAAGCAAGTCCTTCCAAGAGGATGTCTGCCTGGTAATGCTTCGGTCACTCCGTTTTATTCTACTGCAGCATGTCTGTCAGAGCCATGACACTGCACAGGAACATTTGGTATATGAACAAATACAGGAAGGGGAGAGGCAACCTGCTGGGGACAATAATGAGAAATATTTCAGTAGAGAGGCGGAAATCAAGTCTGAGGCAAGCAGACAAATACATACCAATTAGTCTCCCACAATTAACAAAAGAAGAACAGTGAAGGTCTAAGAATTAAATTACCTATATGTCACCAAGTACGGAAAAGGAAGATGCTCATTAGCTTTTAGAGACAATCAACTCTTTTCAAGTTGGCACCTTCTTCCTTTTCCCATAGTAACCAGTGGAATTTTAGTAATGGGCTTTCGGTTAGCTGATTTCAGTAGGATTAGGATCTAATTGATTACTTGAATTATATTATCTAATTTAATCTGTTCAGACTGGACAATTTGGAGGGAGAGCTGATTGGCTTTTGCACATTTTTGGGCACTCCCCATTGTGGCCTGATTCAAACCAGAATCTACTGGGAAGGCAGCTCAGTTATCATGGTCAGATGTGGGCTTGGTTCTGTGACCATGGATTAACATAACATTTAGGTAACCACTTTACACAAGTATAGATGGCATAGATTTGGAAACATTGCAGCACTGGTTGACTTTTCTTACGAATGTCTCATATTGTTTTTTTGGGGTTTTTTTTTGTTTTTTTTTATTATTACATACCTCTATTCCTCAGAAAAGTAAAATCCTGTCCATCAATTCCACCTGTTGCAATTGAATAGGTGGATTATGCTCCCTGTTTCAGAACAACTGATTTCTTTGCTAGTCCTTAGTTCCTCATCATAAACACTATTAATGTGAGGTGTTTCTTGCATTAGGGTGTCTGTTGGTATTATTGTGTTCAGCTAAATACAGTTCTAATGGGATACTCAATACACTCCTGTAAACACACTCAATTTGCAAGATATTTACAATCTTGTTATTAGTAAAAGAAATTCATTCTACTTTAGTCTCTTTGCAGCTGGGACATGTTTCCTAATCACTTGACCTTTACCTAATTAGTGATTAATTTTTATCTATCATACACTGAAATTTAGGTTTTAACTGTCAGTCTCCTTGTGGTCATTTGCTTGCACTCAATAAAAAAATATATTTGAGACAGTGTAGCTAATTCATTACTGTTTTTCCTGGGAAAAAAAATATTATAAAAAACCCTATTGAAAAGCTGTTGCTTCAATTGACTTCTGTAGGGACCACATGCAATGGTCACAAGAAGAAGAGGAGAATGCCAAGAAAAAAGCAGCAGAGAACTCTCTTGTGAAAGTTCAATCGGACGACCAAGGTAACAAATTTCAAATGGTATAAAAAAATTTTAATGCTCTTTATTAAAACATTTGAAGATGCTGTAGAATTCAGGAATACTCTTTTTATTTCTACATTCTTTTGTCTAAATTTTTAAATTTGGTTTTTGTTTTTTTCCCTTTGTTGCCCTAAAAAATCTCACAGTGTGTTTTTCCTAGCAATACAGTCATTTATTTGAACAGTTTTCCCATTAGAGTGGCAGTAAACTCTATGTAAAACACGTGGATCAGTATGGTGCAGTTGTTCTGACCCGTTTCACAGTCCTCCAGAATACAACTACTACTACACAAGGCTTTTATAGTATTAAAGGGAATTAATTTGCAATCAGCTGGGTTCTGGGGATGAAGATTCCCATGTACAATATTCAAATACTTTTCAGTGATTTGGGAACTATTTAGAGAGCTTGTGTTTGTTCGTTGCACTGTATTTCTGTTAAATGCCATGAAAGTTGCAGTGGTCCCAGCTGGTCCAGCTTGCTGCCTTTGCCAGGCTGAGCTGGGAGTGCTTCAGGAATCCATGTGTTCAGTTGGTGTAGAAGGTGTTCCAGTTCATCCTGCATGGTCTGCTCTATAAGGGATTAAAGAGTTTTGTGCCTGTCTTCAGAAGGAAATTTAATGTATTCTGGGTTTCTGAGGAGTGAATGCTCTAGTTTCAAACTGGCAAACTAAACCACAGACTAAACTCTAGGGTAGTTATGAATGCTAAAGCTGGAATATCAACTTGATAGTAGTACAGAAGACTGGATTCTTCATTTGTTGTTCTGTTAGAAGGATATTCTGAAAGTAGTTACTTGGATATCTTGTGCCTCAGTTTACTTAGCATGTCTTGAATCTGTCAGATAGTGTTGTTATGATCCTATGCTTGGTGTAACTAGGGCACATGTTGGAGTTTATTTGAATTACCTGAGAATGTGCCTTGCGTTGTGTGCCCTTCATCACTTTGAATACTCCGAGATTGTCAGCCTGCCTTTCTCTGTTACCTCTCACATTCTTTATCTACATACAAGAGTACAATGTTTTTCAAAAATTAAATTTAATATAAACTTGATTTGTATAAAAAGCTGAAAAAAATCTCATAATTGAAAAGTAAGCTGTGTGACTGTATGCTCATGAAACCTTGCATTCTTCATCTACAATCAATTAGAAGTTAGTTGGTGCTGGTGAGAAATTGAATAATCAGGCATTTGTCTATTGCCATGAAACACAAGAATCCAAGGACATTTCCTATGAATGCCCCTCTGTTTAGAATTTGAATAGGTGAGCATTGCTGGTAGTGTTCCTTCAGAAAGCTTCAGCTTCATTCTGCAAATGGAAGTACATTTTGGCCTATTTGTTTAAACAGTGAACCAGACCAAGACTAATGAGCAGGTTATTTTGGGGCCTTGAAAAAACTACAGTAAGGGGAAAAAGGACGGATTTCAACAATGCTATTAGATTACTAAAGAAGAAGAGCTGTGGTGAGTCTTTTTAGAGCAAGAGCAGTGTAACTGAATGAACTCATGATAGGAATTTGATTTACATATTAGATGTGCAGTTTCTTCTCAGGCATGCTTGCCAGCAGTTGAAGATCCTGTTATGGAGAAAATTCAATTGACAAAGTAAACAGTTTTTTTGGGGTTTTTTTGTTTGTGGGTTTTTTTTGTTTGTTGTTGTTGGTTCGTTAGTTGGTGGGTGTTTTCTTGTTTTTTCCCTTGGTTTTTTTGGTGGGTTTTTTGATTGTTGTTTTGGTTTGTTTTTGGTTTTTTTTTGTTTTGTTTTGTTTAGTTGGGGCTTTTTGGGTTTTTTTTTGGAAGTTCATGTTTTTTAGTTATGTAATTTTTACATGCTTTGGAATATTTTGTGGGTAGGCTAATTAAATACACAAAATAAAATAAAAATTTAATAATACCGCATGCATGTTATTACACAGAGATACAGTAATGACCTGTGCAACAATGCAAAGTAAAGTGTTCCTTCACTTAAATGCATGTCATTCCATACTAATATAGTTTGAAAGGCTGACTTTAGCTATTTGTTCCTTCAGTTCTGAAATCTGGAAAACTTGATGTGAATTTAAGTACAAGGGTTCTGAGCAGACTTGTAGGAAAATTGTGACTATAACAAGGGGTGATAATAATTAAAGAATCTTTTGACTAGAAGGGTTTTGGGTTTTATACTGAAGCTGAGCAACCTATAAATGTGCAACTTAAACTATTGAAATCTGATATATATATGACCTCAGTCTGCTCTGAACTTTTAATATAAAACAGGCCTGTACAATTACAATTACACGGCTGGGTCCTGCCCTTTAATAATACAATTGGATGTATTAAATGTTAATTTTAAAACATTATGCAGATTTCTAGGACAAGGCATTCTGCCACCTCCTTACCACTTCCCACTGCCTGTCTGTGCCTCTAATGATAATTCTCAGACTTGTTTATCTCTGAAAAGCTGTAGCAATTTAGGAAATAATATGTTAAGATTTAAAAAGAGTAGTAGAAGTGCACTGTACATTTACTCTGTACATTTATATTAAAATAATTAATATGTTGGTGTGATTGAGAACAAAATAGGAAAGTCAGCACATTATATGAGGTACACTTTTGCAGCAAGAGATGTCAGGGGTAGCAAGATAGTTCTGCTAATGCTTTGGAAATAAGGAGGAAAAACAAGAAAAAAAATTTTTTTGGTACTTAGGAGGCATAAGGAAGGGAAAACCATCAACAAAAGAGACATTGAAAAGCTGTAATTCTTATCTTTTTATCAGCCTTCCTTTGAAAGGGTTAGCTAGCTTCACTCCAGTGACTAGCACAATTAGTGCTAGCGAGAAGGAGGAAAGATTTTGTTCTTGAAGTGAGAAAGAGCAGGTTACAAAGTATGTCCATAGAGTACATGGATGAGTGGAAAAGGAGAAAAGAGAATATTTGCTTTTTTAAAAAGGAGGTGGGAAAAAAAGAAGAATCAGATAATTGGTTTTTGTTCCTGGAAAAATACTGGAAGAGTACATCCAGAGCTTGCAGTCGTTGAGTTCAGAGGAACAAAGGAGATGAATACTGGCCAACAAATATTTTTTCAATAATAAATCGTGTAAAATCAAGCTAATTTCCTTCTTGGAAAAGGTTACAAGCCCTGGGGATAAGGGAAAAGCAGCAGATGTCCTGAAGTTTATCCTTAGTCAGCCTTCTGACTTGTTTTACTTGACATTTTCATAAGCAAGTTAGGCAAGTGAGAGCTAATGAAACTACATTTGGGTGAATGAATGCCTAGAGAGATCCTTTCAGAATGGGAGGGTGTGCTGGGCAGAGGAGTGTTTTATTCTGTGTCCAGTTCTGCTTGGTATTTTCATTAGTGGCCTCAGGAAATTCGAGACTTGAAGATGATGTTAAGTGAAAACATGTTTTAAGTATGGTGAAGGGCTGGATTAATATGCAGAAAGATGTGGACAAATGGTGGGAAAAAAAATCTAAAATATATAAATTTACTAAAAATAAGTTCAGATTTCTTTGTTTCAGAATAATTCCTTATAAAAAAAACTAGGTTTTGGAACAATTGGCTTGGTAGTCATTTTGCAGAAGAAGATCTGAGAGTTGTGGTGAATCACTAGCTGAATCAGCAGTGTCATGCTGTTGCGAAATGGCAAGCTGGGAGTTATAAACAGGATTACAACCTAGAAGCCTCATAAAATACTCCTTTTGCTCTGCAATGATAATGCCTTTGCCAGAATGCAACACCCAAAAGTAGTAAATCAATTGGAGAGAATCTAGAGAAGAAAAGCTGAGATTATCAGAAGTCTAAAAATCAAAAAGAAGATAGTTTTAGACAATCTAGAAAAGAGATTATTTATGGAGGCATAGTAAAATACTTCAAATATGTAAATAGTTGTTGCAAAGAGAAAAGAGAGTAATCTTTGCTTTGTCTGCTTGATCCCTAGCTGGGACAAGAATTGCTCGACCTAATTGCAAGATGGAAGTTCTTAGGTAGTGGAAAAGGTGTGGTGGAAAGCTGTAGAAAATTAAGGACTGTAATATATTACTGAAGAAAGTTGTATGTGAAAGGTGGTATTTTAAGAATAAGTTGGACAGATTTTTGAGGAGAAGGGATATGAATTCCCTGACTGTGTGAAATCCCTTCCCGTCCTACTTTATGCCATTCTAACACACAGTTAGAATGTTTTGTGAATTAAAAGTGAACACTAAAGTCTGTTGAAGGACTCTGAAGTGTTTTGAAAATAAGAAAGCAAGTATGTTCCTTCTGTATTGTTGAATGCTTACTGTCTATTTGCTATGCAGTAGCATTTATGAGTCCAGTTCACAGAACTGGAATTTTTTTAATAGGTGATGAGGTACCAACAAATGTGCAATTGATTACAGAATTTAATAAAGAATGAAGGAATTTCAATTTACTATTTCTTAAATAATTGAAAAGATGCATTGTTTTTGTAATTTGAGACCTGAAAGCTTGTCTAAGAATCTTCAGATTGCATATGTTGGTGGTGCTGTTCTATGATATCACTACATTTTAAAAAAATATACTGTAAGCCTGTTTACCCCTTCCTAAGTGACATAAAATCTAATTAAACCTTCACAGGAGTTACTTTGAGCACAAGTTAGGGTGAGACACAAATCCATGTGTTTTAATTTAAATGTACAATGTGTGAAACTATGGATTTTTAAACTGTATATTTAAGGTCCAAATTATATGTTGCTTTAGAGTATTTTCTAGCTAAGCTCATATTCACCAAGGTTTTGTTCTGTTTTAATTTCAGATAAATATGAGAGAGAAGCCAGTAAATATTGGAATGAATTTTACAAGACACATAAAAATAACTTTTTCAAGGATCGCAATTGGCTGTTTCTGGAGTTTCCAGAAATTCTTCCAGAAAAAAGGAGACAAGAGTTCAAAACAGAAAAGATATCTTTGGAACACACAAAAATAAATAATGACAACAGCTTTTCACTCAAAAATGGAATGTTTGAAGAAGGAGAAAAATACTGGGAGAAAAATTATGGATCTGGTTCTATTGCTGTACAAGGATATGTATATAATAAAAATGAAGTAAAAGCTCTTACTAACAATCCTCAAGGTAAAAACTGCGGAGAAGAACTTGGCAAGGTAGAATCCTTCCCTGGCTGTGATGCCACTTACCGAATATTAGAGGTAATGCACTACAGATGTTCTGCCCATCATACAGAACTCCACTTAATTACTCAAAAATCTGAGAAAGACCCTTACTAAGTATCAAGAAAGCAAGCTTTTGGAATTTTACCTACTACATTTGTTTATGGCAGAAACTTTCAGAGAAACCTGAAATCTGGACTTGGTTTTCCCTTTAAAGTTTTTCCCAAATCAGAATAGGGCTAGATTGTCGGATTCCATTTTCATTGAAAGTCACATTTCTCATTTCCTAAGGAAAAGTATGAGTTTAAGTGCTTTGTCTCAAAGTGCAAGTACTTGCTGCATTCTTCCCAAATGGTGAAATTGGACCATAATATTGCATTTTCTTATGCAGTTTGAGAGACAGATTCTCTACGCTTTAGAAAGATGTTAGGGAGAAACCAAATCATGTAAATGATTTGAGATTTGTGGTATTAGCTGATTATACCTTTTCTTTTCCAACATACCTTCAAATCGAATGGGTCCTACTGGCCAACTAATTTAAGACAAAAATAACAAAAAAAGGTTTTATTTGCTCATTTATTTTAACTTTATCTTTCTCTTCTGATTTTAGGTTGGTTGTGGAGCTGGAAACAGTGTCTTTCCTATTCTGAAAGTTCTATGGTAAATAGTGTTGGATTTCCAAATATAAATGTTGTATTCAATCTTCATTTTCAACAAATGTTGGTGCTGGATCAGTGCTGCAGGAAGTCTTGAGTGAACCCTTTTACCACGCTAAGATTCTTAATGTGTCAAATCACAAATAGTATTGGTAGCATCAGTATAGGATACTCCTCATATGGCTCCACCAGGTCTTGGGGGATTTTACTTGATGACAAAGTTTGTCTTTGGGTGCATTCAGGCTGAGATCAGGCAGGTGAAATATTCTCTTGTCTTACATGTGATCTACTAGAAAGAAGTTCTATTTTTTCTGAATTGGCTGGTATATTTGTTACATTACTTGTGGTTTTAGTGTCAAGGCACAAGTCCTGTATCACATTACTTAATTCATTGAAACATCTTAATCCACTTAGCTTCCAGTTTTAGAAAAATCTGTTATGACAGCTTGTCTTCCCATCCATGTAGGCAAGAAGGTTTTATTGGAAGGGCTATGTATGTTTCAAGGGTTGAAATAGATTTATTTTTATTCATGCCTTTAAAAATTTGAGAACAACACAATTCATTATTCTGTAAATGAATTCTGATTGCTAGTATCACCATTATACAAAAATACTCAATTTTGCAGATATGGAAACACAGCAGGAGGAACTGAGTGGTGAACCAGGGTCATACATGAAACGCCCTGTGTGTTGGTGCCGGAGCTCACCCTAGGTGGGGGGTGGCTCTGTGTGGTGGAAAAATCTCTCCTCCAACCCGTGCTTTCAAAAAAAAGCTCGGTAGTCTTCTTTTGTTCGGTCTCAGGGCAGTTTATTGCAAGCTGTCTAAAAGATTGTCTTCTCAGGCTGCTGTGGTTTGCTCAGCAGCTCAGGCAGAGGCAGACACACCCCTGACATCCTCTCTGTCTGGCGTCTTCTCCCCGCCCAGGGCTGCTGCTATCTTTTATATGGTACATTACGTATTAAATGTTTATAGTTTTTCCCCAATGCCTCTTGCCTATATTAAATGGTGTCTTTCTGCTCTAAACCAATATGTGAGTGCCAACATCACCAAGAACATGGAGGTAAGGAAGAAGAAAGAGGGAGGACAGGACATGCCCAAATCCCTCCATCTTAAAACTTCTGATCCCTATGTACAAAACCAAACCCCGCCCCTGTGCAGGATTTAAACCTGCCCTGTACAGCACTCAAAAATTCTTCCCTTTACTTTGTGACTACTTCTACTATAATATCTAAACTTTTGTGACTTCTTGTTCTTCCTGCAAGGTTGGTAAATCATTCCATGGTTCAAATCCATGTTTCCAGCAGCTGTTTCCAGCTGCCTGCAGGGTCTCAAATGTTTCTGACCTGGACCCGGAACATCCAAAAATGTCTGAGGGACATTTTGAGTTCAGACATGTTGGCAATGCATCTTCATCCCACAGCAAATGCTTTGCTTTAGACAGCATGTAGTGAAAGGAGAGTTTCATATGAAAATTTTGAAAGGAACCCTATGTAGGAAAAGATATTGTGTGGCTGTGTTGAAAAAGATGAGACAAACTTTTGTGTTTTCTTCACAGGAGGCATTAGTCATAGATTGGCATTTCTGATAATTAAGAATCTACAAGTTAGGTATTTTTCCTGGAGATCTCTATTCATGTGTAAATCCTTCTGTCAATCACATCGGTTGATACATGGAACAGCTTACTTGTTGGTCTTTTATATGACCTAATGGAAAGATCTCTTATCTCTAAGCAAGCTTGGCATTATAGAACACTTGGGTTTACGCTGAATTTAATAATATAAAAATTGCCATTCTGGCAATTATATGCATATAAAAGAATATATCTATATGCATATAATTATATGCATATAAAAACAAGTCCATGTCCAGCAAGCGTACCCTGGCTACAAAAGAAAATTTCACTAATGTTAGTAATGTAAGTTTTAAATCTCTTCCCCATGCCTCCCTTAAAATTTAAGTTAGTGCTTTTTAATACAGTGTATCATGAAAACATCAGGATCAAGCCACGTCTTTGTCGTAAGTGGACTTTTTACATGGTTCCTATTCTGCTCAAAAAAAAAGTCCAAAAAACTCCAACATTCTAACAAGTCTATTAGGTAATCATCTTAACCTTTCCCAAGAAACAGACTGGGTCCAAAGCCTGGCTTGTCCTCATTCATAATAAATATGTAAATTCATCAATGCTCATGGTGGTCACAAAGCTGATAAAGGTTTTGCTCAGCAAAACGAACAAGCATGAAGTATATTTTATTCCAGAAGCATTTTCCTGGTGAGCCTTCAGGAGTTGCTAGCTTAGCTGTGTATACTGTGAGGTCTTACAGGCGCCAGCAGAGTTTATTGATTCCCTTCTAAAGAAGCCATCTATCCAAAATCTTAAATATATTTTTAATTAATTAAATTGATAATGAGTTGATCGTGAGGTCATCTCTGGGTTTTGAGTAGCTTTCTCAGTTTATCCTTCAGAGGTGAAAAAACTTCTACCTAAAAGTACTAGTATTTGATGAATGGTACAAGGAAATTTGGTGCTGGCTGAGTCTTGAATGGGAAGAGAAGGGAAAACAGTGCTACAGGAAATTCTTATCCATCCTAGCTGGAAAACAAAGGAGATAATGGAGTGCAATAACCAATAATGTTAAATCAAAAGAACAGCAAGATGATACATGGAACCCCAAACTTCTATAGAACTGGATGACTTTTGCAACTCTCCATCCCTGCCCAAATCATATTGCTAATTAAACTGCATGCATGGGCTAATAATGCGGTGCTCCTGTAAGAAAATGTGACCTTTTAATGTGTATTTATGCATTACAGCACCAGGACATTGTCATCAGTTCTGACAGCCCTCTGTGACCTTTTTTCTTTTCCTTTTTGCTTCCTCCCAGACAAGTCTATAATTCTTTTTGTACTAGCTGTCTGTTGGTATTCTTATGATTTGTCTGCCCTATTGGTTCATTACAACCTATGTGGCTTTCAATGTGCTAGACATCAATAAAGCATGCTTGATCAAACCTGTGGAGAGCCCCAGAGGACCCTCTGAAGTTTCATGAACACTGATACAGACTTTCATCTTACACATTAATAATTTTCTAACTGATGTTGGTTTTGTTTTCCTAGCAATACACCTGGAACCTTTCTGTACTGTTGTGATTTTGCTTCAGGAGCAGTGGAGCTGGTAAAGGTAATTCATGCACTCGCTTTAGAGTACCTTACAAGCCTGTAATTCAGGAGGCTGCCAGGAAGCCGTCTTCATGAAAAAGAATGTGATGGCTTTGACAACTTTTAACTGAAGTTTTCAGTATTCCAAAGAACAAAGTCATACTGTATGCAGAGAGGAATGAATACCATCAGTGAGCTTGCTTCTCAGCTTGAGTAAGATACTGGACAGAATAGGTTTTTATATGAGATATTTTACAATGCAGAATAATTGAAGAAAAAAATGTTTCTTGAGTCACAGTAAACGTATTAACTACTACTGTTCTCTCTGTGCCTCTTTTCATCTTTTTCCTGACAGTCACATTCGTCCTATAATTCAGCCTGGTGTTCTGCCTTTGTTCATGATGTGTGTGATGATGCTTTACCCTATCCTTTTCCAGATGAGATCCTGGATGTCATTCTCCTTGTCTTTGTGCTCTCTACTATTCATCCTGACAGGTAAATGAAGACTAAAGGGCAAAGCAAATGGGTTCAATCTCTTTTTGAACTGAAGGTTTTCAATAATAGCAAAAGAAGATGATGAATCTTTGCTATTTAATAAGCTACAGCATATATAAGGTATTTTAAATTATGTTTACGATTTTCAAGCTTCAAGAGAAAAGCTGGTCAGGCTAATTATAATTAGTGAGTCTCCAGTCTCCAACAAAATTCAAGGGATATATTGTAACTAAGTACATCTCTACAAGAAGTGACAGATTCAAAAAAAGGCAAATTAAAAAACCAGATTGACAGTCTTCTAGAAGGTTGCTATTTTTAGTGATCAAAAGCAAACATGCATGATTTAACACCTTACAATATGCTGATATGGACTTAGATTACTGATTTAGCCACATTCAAATGCTTACATGCAGCCCTTTTAAACTAAAATGCATCTATAATTTTGTAACTTGTTCGGATTATGAACATTTGATTGAATTTTCATGTATGGTGTTGAGTACTGTTAGCCTTTGCTAGTGCCTCTCGATGTCTATTGAACCAAATTTTATGACTTAAGGTTGGCTGATTGTGAACATGACCTTTTTTAATGCAAAAAATGTAAAAGAGGAAATGTAAGTTAAACTTCTTTACTCTAACTAGGCTATATGAAGGGAAATACATGCTGTTTGTGTGATAATACATTTATTACTTCAAGAATGTCATTAAAATGGGTTTGGTGTACAGAACAGTATTTGCCTGAGAGCTGTTTCCCTGCTACTAGTGATTAGCTTTATACAGAAACCTTTCCTGTACAGGATATTTCTCCTTTCTGTTGATTCAGAGATGAGCACAAGTCACACAAAGCCAGGGTCCAAGTTTCAAAAGCAGTTAAATCAGGAGACTTCAGATCTCTGTAACTCCAGTGATGCTGCCAGGAAGAAATTGGACAACAGTGATTCATTCAGTCACTGTGCCTGTAGAAGCAGTAATTAGATGTTCTGTCAGAATTTCTGTGAACTTTTCCTATTAGTCTGTTAAGAATACATTTGAGGTTTTTGTGGTTGATTTTCTGTTTTGTTTGTTTTCTTTTTGTTGTTTGGTTTTTGGGTTTTTTTTTTGTAGAGGGGTAGGTTGTCATTTTTGGTTTGGGTTGGGTGTTTTTTCCCCAGGGCTGACATGGATGTTTTTGTGTGCATGTGTGTGTATACACACAGAGAGATTTTCATGTAATTATTTGTGTTTTGAGACCCACTTTCCAAAGATGTCTTAGTCATTGCTGCCATCTCATAGAATTAAAATTACTGCATAAAGGAAAATGTCATTTTGCTCAGTATACATTTTTTTTCTGGAAACTTTGAAAGTGGGAAATGAAAAAGAAAACCAAGGGAATCATGGTGCAGAACTTAGGTACTTTGAAAAGATGGAAAATAGGTGTGAGAGGGAGACATTTGTGTTCAGAAAAATGTTACTTAGTAATTTCTCTCTAGGCTGTTGTGTTTAGTTTTTGATAATTGCTACTCTTGTAGTCATTTTTTAACACACTTCAATTCTGCTAGAAGGCACCTCTAAAGTTTGTTTGCAGAACTGGAAGTATTAGGCTTTCTTCAAGCTGTATAATTAATGCCTTCTGGTTCTGCTGGATGAAATTTCTCAAAGCACTTTCATCTTCTGTGCACATAAACTTCTCTCTGTGTGTGCAAAACTTCCATTTACATAGACAAGGCTGTAATTCTGTGCACAACTACTGTCCTGAACAGTCTCTTATTCTTAGGTGTTGCTGCCTTTTTGGTCTGTGGCAGCAAACTTGATTGCTTATGTTTGCAAACTTCACCAGCATCTCATCTATTCTCTAAGGATGCAAGGGGTTGTAAATAGGTTGGCTAAGCTACTGAAGCCTGGAGGAATGCTGTTATTTCGAGACTACGGGAGATACGACACAGCTCAACTTCGTTTTAAAGAAGGTAATTCCTGAATGGTTTTGTATTTCACTGTTCATTTCAGCTCTTTCTGGAAACAAAACGTGACATGGCCTTTTTCATTACTGCTCTAATTTCTTAGGTCATTGCTTGTCAGAAAATTTTTATGTAAGAGGAGATGGAACCAGAGTGTATTTCTTTACCAAAGGTATGGAATGTTATAGTTCCATAGAACGGGTTGAGTGTTTCTCAAAGTGATTTGGATTATGACAGCTCATCTTAAAACATAAATTTAAAGAAGGTTTTATTTGCTTTTAAAAAAATTTTCTGCTTTTAAAAAGCGCAAAGCTAACTGTTGTAAGAAAATAATTTCCTTTGTATGCACACTTGTTGCATTTGGGGTGCTGCAAGGTTGCTTACAGACATCACTGGATATTTCTCTTTAAGTATCCTGTGTGTAATTGTATGCTCAAATTTTATTATTTAAACATGCACATGACTTCTCTGTTGAAATTGAGGTAAACATGCTTGGAAGGAGATGGCATATGGCATCATATATGGCATAAAAGTCTGGATTGTTATTTTTCAGGGGAAGTAGCTTTATCTTGATAATGCATGGACAGTAACGAAATGGCATGCACTTGTTTACTCAACTGTAGCATCTTGAACCCTGTGAAGCAAGGGTGTATATGAATGCTGTAAGAAATAAATAATGTGGTTTGGGCCTCAACATAATGGTTTTTACTGCAGTATAAATCAAGAACCATGAAAATGAATTTCTAACAAAAGCCTTATTACAGGCAGTGTCCTTTAGCTTTCAAATTGCAAAGCAGATTTACTTCCATCTTTCATTGAACTACAGGTTGTTAATTACTAAATTCTACAAATGACTTTTTTCTTTTTTAATTGCAATAATTCTTCATATGAAAAAATAGATGAGGTATGGAACATGTTCACCGTGGCTGGATTAACTGAAGTACAGAATTTAGTTGATTGTCGATTACAAGTAAACAGAAAGAAAAAAGTGAAAATGCAGCGAGTTTGGATACAAAGCAAGTTCCAGAAACCATTGCTATCTCTGCATAATCCTGAAGAAAGCACCAAAAGGCGCCCTTGTAAATAATTGTACTCCAGAAATGCAGTACAAAATTGAACTTCAGAAACTGAAGCAAATTTAAGTATGTGTATTTTCAGTAAATGTTGTGTTAGCCACTGAAAAGTATAAAAAAGTTCAATAAATGTATTGAACTGAAAACCTTTCTCTGAATTAATTTTTTTTCTATATACATATGTGTGAGAAAAATCTGGGGGGAAATAAAGGCCATTTCTGACTTCTGCTTTATATGCAATAATCTTTTCATAACTGTGACCAGGTATTATTTTGCTCCCTTGAATATGAACGGTCAATAAGTATATATTTCATTTGTGTTGAAGTTCACAGTATGTAAAAAGCTTAGTCTGAAGCATAATTGTTTCAGAGATTTAGAGAAACAGATTATCTGTTCTCACTATTACTACAGCCTGCACTGTGTTAATTTCTGAGTCACATCCTTTTCAACCATTGTGTCTTACGACTGTATTTCCCCTTTGGAGGGAAATTTCTGGCTGCATAAATAATGAATACAAAAATATTATTTTTCTGATTTGCATGTAGCTATCATTTCACACTAACTGCGTGTGATAGGTATACATATCAGATTACTCCGTGATTTTTGTCCTCCACTGTGACTGATTTATTATGCTGTCTCCACTTTTCATCTACATGCTCATAAGGAACATGCCAAATTCAAATACAATGCATTACATTTAAAGTGCTCTAGGTTGTAAATGGAACGTGTTTAATGTAGAAAACCACTACCAAAATGCCAAAACGGTTCTGAAACCAAGTAGTTAATATTGGATAGTTGTCTGGATAAATACAAACATTATTTTTACGATATGTTAGATACGCTAGAGGGAGAAGCAAAAACAATAGTCCTAAATACATTTTATTAATAGTGTTATGGGGTAATGTACTCACAGTACTGAATGAATGGTAATTTACCTGGCAGCTGAGATATTTTTGTTGTTTACAAAAAGAAATTTCTTTCTTAGGGATTCTATATTAGAAAGAAAAAACGCAGTGTTTTTTCTTGACTGGGTGGGGATACAGTAAAGGACAGGACTAGTCCTGTCCTTTAGTACTTCAAATTCTTTTAAGAAGAAAAGTGAACTGCAAGCACTGTTTTCAAATGCAGAACATGATCCTGAGGCTGTTGAGCTCATATTTAAAGATTCCACTATGCCACTTTGCTATTTAAATGTAATTTTAAATCACTTTCCCACAAGGAGGAGAGAACAAGAAAAAGGTGAATTAATAAAATAAATCTCTATTTAAACAAGAGTGTGGGATGCATGTAATCTATAACATGTAGTTTTGAGTGCCATTAATACAGTGACACTCAAAGTCTCTTTTGTTACTTTTATTTTAGGCTGAAGGGTAAATATGTCACAGCTGATCTTTTTGCAAGTTGTTAGTTGCTAAGCTAAGGAGGACTGGTGGTCTTCTAGGAAGAAAACCCTAAATTATCCAAATGGGGATGCCAAATATCTTCATCCCCTTTAACCCAGATGTCTTTCAAGAATGAGGTGCAGTAAGGGGTCTGATCCTGCACTTTTGATATATTAGAAACTCCCATTAGAGGAAGATACTGTTTTATGAATTAAGAGGCTTAGGGTAGCTTTGGTTAGCAATAGCATTGCTGTAAACTGCAATAAAACAGGTAGTATAAATCGAAGGTTAAAACACAGCTGTGTTTCTTAAAGCTCTAAGAGATTTTAGCATTCTCACAGAAAATATAAATAAATGTCTCCTTATATTTTAAATATGTTGCTATTCTGTTTTATTAATTGTGACTTCTGAATACACATAGCTCTTAGCTAGCACAAATCATTTTCACTTGTAGAATTTTCCAGGGAAGTGATGATGATAAGTTCTTGAGCATTGTGTAGTCTTATTCATGTGTGTGATATAAATTTTCCATTTGTAGAGGCTAACGTAATGTTTGCTTTGGCACTCATGAGGATATATTGATTCTGGAAAGATTTTAATATGCTATGTTGTTAGTTAAACAAAAGTGTGACATCACAAATAACAAACCCTGAATTTTGAATGGCCTTAAGCAAAATCAGCTGTTTCTCTTGCACAATTTACAGTGCAAGTATTGGCTGCCTCTTTTAAAATAATAGTGCCTGATTTGGAAGTGGTAAGATCAGCTACTATTTTTAGTTTCAGATTCATTGAAGGGGATATGGAAAAAGGCATCATTCCCAATAAGAACTTTTGAAACTTAGTAGCACTTTCTGTATTTTGGCTTTATGACATTTCAGTTTTCAAAAGGCTTAATCAAAAACATGTTTTTAAAACACTTTCAAATTATCTGTATTAAGCAGGAAGGACTACTGAAATAAAAGAAGAAAAAGAGATGCAGACATCTATATAGGAAAGGCAGTTTAAACCAGCTTATTGTTAATTAATTTCTGGAGGAAAGAAAAACTAGTTTATTAATATAGAAAAATGCACTTAATTTTTACTTTTGACATACGAAGTTGATTCTTTAATCAGATAAATCACCTGAATTAGTTTATACACATTCTATAAACACTAAACATTTTAATTTGTAATTACAAATGTTCTTTCATTTTTGTGAATATTTTTTTTTTTGGTTGTTTCAAGCATGCTTCCTAATGGAAATTAGAGAAAGGTAGTCTTGCTAGAAATGAGCTTCAGTTTCATTGGCCTTGGCTTGTTTTATGAATACCTTGTATTTTTTGCCCAGATGTACATGGGCAAAAAATACATGGTACTTACTGGTTTATGCCTTGCTTAGTTTTTAAGCAAGTGTGAGGCAGTTTAAAAGTAAAGAAAATGACCAACTTTTTTTCCTACACTAATTTTGAAGTATCTAGTCAATAACAAGTGACTCATACAAAAAAAAAAAAAAATTGCCTTTTTCTTAGTAAAACCAAGGCTAAGGAAAAGGCTTAGAATGTGACTTTTGCCACATTCACAAATCCACTGAATCTGAGGAGGACAGCCAAATGCAGGCGTGATGAGGAGGAACTGTAGGAACACTAGGGAAAAGTTTATTGTCTTGGAAACTGTAAAGCTAATCTGATTTTGCTAGTTTATAATGACAAAAAAGTTATAGTAAACAACCACAAAATTTGTATTAAACAATGGTGGAAATCACTTAGCATGAATTCTGCTACTTTATTTTCATTTGTGGTGTGAACTTTACTCACTGTTCCAGTGTTCTCTTTGATCTGTTGACATATGGTTTGCTTCCTCTTTTTCCTGTGTGTAGTGGACAGCTGAGCAGTTTCCTAAGGAGATATATACACAAATATTTGCAGTCAAGTTGGCTGGCTGAGTTATTGTTAGAATTTAAACAGGGGAGATTTTTTTCCTTCTGTACAGATTGCTTTTTCTTTTTGCAATGAATTGTATAGATGCTAAATTATATATAGTGGTGATGACTGCATTTTTTAATAATTTCAAGTCAAGCGTCAGAGTATCATAGAATGGTTTGGGTTGGAAGAACCTTAAAGATCATCTAGTACCAACCCCTCTGCTGCAGGCAAGGACGCCTTCCACTAGACCAGGTTGCTCAAAGTTCCACCCAGCCTGTCCTTGAATAAGGGTGTATTGTCTATCATAACAGTCCATGTATAAGCCATTTCTTCTCCATAGAGCATCTTCATAATGGGTGGTTGAACAACCTTGGAAATGAAACATGTATACATGTTGCAAAAATATTAAACGCTGCTATTGTTAATAATAGTTCACTTTGCATTTCAGTATATGTATACTTCTCTCCATGTTTGGAACAAGGATTGGACATGAGGGTTTTTTTACATCAGTTATGTGCCAGTTCCCTTTCTCTTAAGAATCATCCAGAATTTGGATAAGGTAAGTCTCCTATAGGCAGTTGCACTTTGTATGTAGTCAGTAAGAGCTACACGGGTTGCCATGGGTGTCTTAGCAGGTTCTTCATCTACCTGTGCCTCCTGGCATGCAGGTCATGCCTGGACTGGGCTTTGAGCTGAGAAGGAAACTTCTTTGTTCAGTGACCATCCTTCACCTCTTGCTAGTACCAAGCAACTAAAAGGAGAATCTGCTTGATTTGAAAGCAAGAGAGGAGAAAGATGAAGATGCAGCTCAAAGGCAGGCAAGAGAGGGAGTGAGTGTTTCCTCTAGGAGCTAGGGTGAGATGCAGTCTTGGAGAGATTGACCAAGAAAAATGAGATGCACAGTAGGGAACTGAGGAACAGCACACTATAAATACAGTTTATGGAGAAGGTTTGCAACAGGATACAGTGGGGCAGGGTGAGGACCTTGGGCCTAGAAATAAATAAAATGAAATTAATTTAATTATTTAAATTTAAAAAATAGAGGGGGCAAGAAGAAGAAAGGGGACTATTTGTCACAAAAATAGGGTGAAATCTGGGTAAGCAAAGCAATTGGTATAAGGACTGGATGTAGAAAGACCTATCTTCAAAGTTTTTATTCTCCCAAATGGTAATGTATTTCACATCTTAGTGGAATATTACAGGCTTTCTCTTTCATCCATATGTGCACAATGCATTTCAATATATTAAAAAGATTGAATGTTTCATTTGTTGTAGTTTGTATGTGCTATGCACATGTTTTCAACAGTGCAGGCAAGTGTGTGATACACCTGCTTTTGCTTTCTCCTTAGGGAACAATGTTTTTGCCTTTTTTTCAAATAGAATCCTATAGTGACAGAAGCTACATTCCTATCCTCCTGGGAAGCAAATACCAGAGAATAACAGAAGTGTCTGTATCCTGATTGTGTGCAATCAAGGTAGAACAATTAAATTTACTCCATGTGTTCTGATGATGTCCCATTTAAATCAAGACAATATCTGCAGATTATTACTGTGAAGAGCCTCCCAATATCAGTTTCTGTTATACTTGCATCTGTTCGACAGAACTTATAATGAATTTGTATAAACTAGAAATAAAACTTAAAAAAAATAGCAGAACAGGCTTCATCTGGGATCACAGCAATTTAGAGATGGAATATGTTTTGTTATTTTAAAACACTGACGGTTGCAGAGGAGCACTTATCCAAGAGACTGAAAATTTCGCTTATTTGAGGTATAATGTATGTCAAGAATATTAAAGCTAATATGCATGTTTTGAAGCTTTGTATACTTAATGTTAGCTAAAGCTGTCTTGTCAATTGCTGCTGTGAAATAGGAGTTAGTAACTATTTTCAGGGGATATTTTATTGATCAGGTTGCTGCAATTTTGAAGTGAACTCAAAAGATTAAGGAAGCATGTGAATTAGCTTAATAAGGCTAAAACCCACAGATGACATATACAATTTGATAAATAATTAGTTTAAGAATAATCCAGGCATTCCTGTGTTTTGATACTAAATAAAATTTTAAATTCATTTTAAAAACAGATTTGGTGTATAATCCTAGTTCTAAAAACAACCAAAATGTTAACATTTTTAAGTATGATGTAAAAATAGAGTGCTCTATAGCTGCTGCATAAGTCCAATGTATAGTCTTCTCTGTAGTGTGTCCTGATCAGCGAGAAGAAAAAGACGCATTAAAAATAGATAGTGAAGTTTTTTCATGTCTCTAGGAATTTCCATATGAAAACAGCTTTGGGAATTGAATGATAGACAATGTGAGAATGGCATATAATCTTATGATTTAGTATTTAGAAGGTCTAATTTATACCTTTACATGATACAAAAAGCAAGATAAATTAGTCAAGTTGGCAGGCAACAAACTTTAATTGTATATATTTATCACCATGCCCTATTAAAGCAAGGAATCTAAATATTCACAAGGCTAAAAGATTGGTGAGTTACCAAAAACTGGTTGTATTAGATTTTTCCATTTTCATTTTTATATGTGTGAATGGGAAATTTTGCATATTTACTGTTCGGGATTTTTAAATGCTTCAATTAAAAAAAAACCAAAGAAACAAAGAAATAACGATCCTAAAACCTTCCTCATTACCTTTTTTGAGATCCTAACATTGCTCAACATTCAGCTCAAAAGCAGAGCTGAAGAATGTGCCTGAATACAAAATGGGTCTAGTAGACACGGTTGCCAAATTAAGAAAAGATAGAAGGGGGAAAGGGAGAAAAATAGAGAACATAGTAATTGGCATGACAACATGTAGTCCTGTAGCAATCATACAGCACTTAGTATTTTATATGGAATGACAAATTCAGTACAGCTCCTGAGAGAGTGGGAGAGAGACACCAGTCTTGCCACACTTCTCTGTCAGTAAACTGGCATGTGGACAAGCCAAAGGCCAAAGAATGAAAGTAGTTGGTTTGCTATAAGAGTTACAATTAATTAATTATGCTCAGTTGAGAGTGGTTGTTTTGGATGGTTTCATCGCAAAGCCAGCACTCATTTTTTCTTTCTTTAGTGTCAGGCACACTCTAGCCTCCATTTCCTTCTGATATAACAAGTGATTTTTAAATGGAGGAGTGCATCTTTCAACTTGAATAAAAGGGTTGTTTTGCAGTGTAGCATTTAGCAGATGGACTTAGAGAATCCAAACCTACCGGTAGTCTTTTATTTTACACTAGGAAAGGCTTTGCCATTTTAAGTGGCTCTGTTTGCTACATCCCCTACTAAGCACAGTAGTCAGATGTTGTTCTGAGGAATTGGGCAGCTTAGCTTCCAATGACATTGATTACACATAACAGTGAGAGCATGAGAAAGAGTAGTGGGTGGAGAAGTGAAAAGGCAGTGTGAGGCATTTCAAGGAGGAGATCTTCACTCTGGCACTTGCATGTGGGTGACAATCCTTCAGAGAAACAGTTTTTACTCTGAAGTGGAGCTGAGTTGAATCTTCCATGCTCACTTCAGGTTTAATCTCCATTCCTGCAAACTACCAGTGCAGCCCGTAGTTAAATGTGCATTTACTTAAAATTAAAATAACAGCAGCAAGAGCTGCATTTTTAGCATGGAGCTCTGATTTCAGACAGAGAGATGCTGGCATGTTAATCCCTGGCATACACAGGTGCAATTCTCAATGACAATGCTAATCCTGTTTACACATGGGCTGAGCTAAACCCAAAGATGACACACAATGCTTTTCAAAATCATTCATTTAATCCCTTTTGAATTTTTGCAATTTAATGACCAGAGATGTTTGTGTTAAGAAAAGGTGATATGAAAGAGCTGACATTGTCGCTGACCATGACTTTCTCTGACATACAGATTACGACAGTCATTACCTTATTTTAGATAAAAATGTCACCTCTTTATTCAAGAGTGAATATTAGTGAATTGAATAAATCTTCAGTGATAGTTACCAAACTCTGAAATAAGATCCGCTTTTTAAATTAGAAACAGTCTGAGCTAGCTTATACAAAGAAAGAAAAACAAAACCATCCTGGCAGTAAGTCTACATTTTATTTTACCAAAGTTTATGAGGAATCAATGCAATCAACAAGAACCTTGGGTTTGGTTTTTTTTTCTTTTACATGTACTAATTTTAATAGCAAAAGAAAGCAGATGGAACAGGAAGTTGCATGGTACACAGTCTACAAAAAATGCAAGTATTATTATATCACTTAAGGTATTTAACAAGCTACTAAATCACACTCTTCTTGCATCAATTGCCTGGAGGCAGAGTATCAGAAACAGTAAATATTTATTTTACTTAGAAACAATTTTAGTAAAAGGCCTCAGGGTTTGATCGGAAAGAAAAAAAAAAATCTTTGAATATTTGACCCAAATTTCCAATGTCATTTATGTCAGTTCAAGTCCAGAAGACTCCAAAGTCTATAGAGCTTCTTCAAGGTATTAACTAGTTGCTCACAATTTGAATCCAAATTAATGGTGCCTGCTTTGGTTTTGCTTGGAGTAGAGTTAATTTTCTTCACAGTGGCTGGTATGGTGCTATGTTTTAGATTTGTGCTAAAAACAGGTTATATAGAGATGTTTTTGCTCTTGCTGAGCTGCACTTGCACAGTATCGAGGCCTTTTCTGCTTCTTGTATTGCTTCACCCATGAGAAGGCTGGGGTTGCAGGGGGATGTGGGAGGGGACACATCACGGCTGACACCAATTGACCAAAGGGATGTAACAAACCATATAGTGTCATGCTCAGCATATAATTCTGAGGAAAACAGAAGAGAGGGAGGGATATTTGGAGTTACAGTTTTTGTCTTCCCAAGTCACCATTGCGTGTGCTGGGAGCCCTGGCTGTCCTGGAGACGGCTGAGCAGCTGCTGGCCCGTGGGAGGTGGTGAATGAATTAATTCTTTAGCTTTGATTGCATGCACAGCTTTTGCTTTACCTATTAAACTCTCCTTATTTCAACCCATAACTTCTCTTGCTTTTACCCTCATGAGTCTCCCCCACTCCACCAGAGTGAAGTGAGTGAGTGGTGCTTAGTTGCTGGCTGGGGTTAATCCATGACAGGACCTAATGCTACCTGCAAAGATAAAATTGCAAGCATTAAAGTACAAAAATACTTTGTTCGCTACTCTTACTTTGTTTAAGGGCTGAAATTTGATTTACTCAGATATGCGTTTATATTTTTGTGTAGGATATTCAGAATTTTTTATCCTAATAAATTCTGTAGTGGGTAATAAGTTTTATGAAACTTAATAACCAACCAGATAAGCATGATGGACTAAGCTAAGTGATTTGTATATAAAATCCTTAAGACATGTTCGTATTTGTTGTCTCAAATACTTGAGAAAGTTACTGTAAGAAAGTATGCCTATTCTGAAACTTAAAAGACCTTTGAAGTTCAAAATAACAAAGTTTGTGAAGATAGGGAAAAAAACCCCAATAAGTGGAAAAATGGCTTTTTAAAATCCATTGTCAGAAAATGAAAATGCATATTTATGCTTTCCTGTGTTTTTGCATTTCACAGACATTGTGTTATTTCATTACTGAAGACTTTGCACAATGGTATGTGATTCTAAGGAAATACCAGTAAAGCAATATAATCTAAACTTATATTATGCTTTGGGCTTCCTTTTTTTTTCCAATTGTTCATTCTCCTTTTTCTAAATTAGTCAATCAGATTAAAAAAGAAAGCAAACATGATACTCTTCGGAAGTCACAGCTGAAGGTAATGCACGCAAATACTAGCTAAGTGTTTTTCTCTGGTGGACTTTCCATTCCTATATGAGATCAAGAATACAGCAGTCTTATCTGGTGTGTTAACAGCAAATTTTTGGTAGAGGTATGCTATATGTATGCTTGTGATACTTTATATAATTTTAAATTCTTGTTTCCAGCTACACTATCTTCTGATTTATCTTAATAACACTTTTGGAGACTCTCAAGTGGAGTGTAATAATTATTACTTGGATATTTTAAGTATACATTACGTAAGTATTAGTGGTTGTATTCATAAAGTGAATAAAAAAAAAGTTTAACATAAACATACATGTGTATCCACCTGTAACTACGTGAACAATGACAATTTCAGGCCTCTTGGTTTTCATGCCCAGCTTATTTGGTGAGATCAGCAATGAACATGCAAACTTTCCCCAGGGTAGCCTAGAGCGACCTTTTCTATCTGTCCAAAAATTTGAGTGCTCTCTCTTTTAAAAACAAAACAAAGCAAAACCACAACAAAACAGTTATTGCCTAAGATAAGCCTAACAGGCTTAGATTATATATATACATACATGTACATATGTATATGTGTATGTGTAAAAGTAAAATGAGAACATAGAGAACATCAGTAGGCTGAGAGGTAGAGAAATGGAAATTGGATGGCATCCAAGTAAAGAAAGGTCCAGCCATAAGAAAAAGAAATTCTTTAAACAGGCATTTAACACAAGGGAAGAGAGAAA